AAGTGATATTTGAGATTAAAACATATAGAAACACCCCTATTGCAAAGCATTTTCTATGAGTATAGTAAATAATAGCATTGAGTTATAAAGCAAAGCCAGTTTACTTTCCTGTATTTACATTGTATATTGACAGTTCCAAACATATAAATGCTTTTAGTGTCATTCTGAATGGAATAGAATGCTCCAGTGACTGGCTTATCAGTGCATTGCAGTGATGATTGATGCCTATAATGGAACTCTGCTGCAGCCCTCCAAGAGCCTAAACTACCATCAACAGTAACTACATTCCAGCTGCTCTGTTTTTCTGGATGGCTGGCTGCAAGTGACTCCATCCCCCTGGGCGCTGGTGTCTTCAGCCATGAAATGAAGGTGTTTAACAAGATGCTCTCTAATGTCCTATGACCCCTGAGAATCTGTGGACTTACACCAGCAGGATCTTTAAGTTGAATGTCTTCAATTACATTCTAATTGTGTGATGAGCACCAATCTGTTGTCTCTATTATTTAATTAAACCAAATGAAGCATACCCTGGTGACACTGGAAAACCAAGAATAGCCAATAATAGCTAACATTTATTGAGTACTTACTGTATACCAGGTGCTATTCTAAGTGCTTTACATATATATTAATTCCTATAATCTTCATAGCCTATCGAGAGAGGTACAGTTCTTACAGATAAGGAAAACTAGGCACAGAGAAGCGAAGCCACTCATGGAAAGTCATAGAGCTAGGAGATGGCTGAGCTGGGAGCAGAATCTGGAGAGCCCTGTCCTAAAATCCCCACTATTAATTCCATACTCTCCTCCTCTCTATTGACTTAATTTAGAATCTGAAAATATATTCAAAGCCCACGTTTAGAAACCAAAGCTTTTGTAAATAAACAATGTGTGTGTGTGTGTGTGTGTCTGTGTCCGTCCATTTCCAAAAAAAAGTCTAATTACAATGGAGGCCTAGGCAGGAGGATCACTTAAGCCCAGGAGTTTGAGACCGTCCTGGGCAAAATAGCAAGTCCCCATCTCTATTAAAAAGGAGGCACGTCATCGAGGTGGCTCATTCCTGTAATCCCAGCACTTTGGGAGGCCTGCCTCAGCTGACCACCCCCCACCCCGCCCCCTGTGTTTGCCATTATCCCTGATTGCCCAGCGGAGCTTCCCCCGCAACCCACATAAGCTTCCCCTCACCCCACCCTGCCACCTTAACTGTTATTATGATAATGCAAATACTCCTCACCCCACCCTGCCATCTTAACTACTCTTATCCCACCCGCCTTTGTGACTGAACTTATGGTAATGTGTACTCCCTGCCCCTATCCCCAGCACTGTAACTGATCTTACTCTGTAACTTTCCACTGCCCACCCCAAACCTATAAAACCAAGTCCTGTCCCACTGCCCTTTGCTGATGTCCTTTTCGGCCTTAGCCCACCAGCACCCAGGTGAATAAACAGCCACGTTGCTCACACAAAGCCTGTTTTGGGGGGGGTCTCTTCATTCAAAGCATGCGGGGTTTTTTTTCTATTTTTATAACATTTTATATAACTCATAAAACAGTGTTTGTATAAAAATTCACACAAAGTTGCTAGAGAGCATACAATTTCCAAAAACGTCCTGGGTTTTTGTTACATTCAGTTTTCTAAGGATGCACCCCAATCAATGGTAAAATGCAGACATGATGCGAGATTTCATATCTTTGGTAAAACTATTCTCATTATTTTGTATCCTCCCAGTATTAACTCTGATATCCACTTTGTGCAGGGTCTGCTATTACTAGGATGTCAGAAAAACGTTAAGGCTGGATCCACGGGAGGCAAGTGTTTCCAAACAGCAGTGATAGCCCCTTGGCCCCCACCCCCACTTCATATATCTACAGTCTACCTACAGCCAGGCAGGGTGCAAGCTCACAACCTCCACTTGGGAGTCTCGAGACCCCCTCTTGTCTGGGCAAGAAGCAAACATTTGGGGGGAACATTGGAAACGGAGGGCGTCTCTAAAGGAACCCGGTGGCCACGCTGTGGTGTGGTCAGGCCAGCACCTGTTACCAATTAAATAGCCAATCCATTCACCACTAAGTAGATCCCATTGGTTGGTTGGTTGATGGTTGCTGCTAAGTGGTCCCCTCCCCGCAAACATAAAAGGGAAGGAAGGTTTGGAGCCAATACTGAAAGGGGAGGGGCACACTAGCGCAAATGACACCAGGCATGACTTTATTCCCTGTCAAACATTTATTGTCGTGTAGACACCGCCAAGGTGAACTGAAGCAGGATGCGAACACTCCTCAGTACATTCATCACTATCTTCATACAGTCTTTAAAAACTTACACAGAGAAACTGATGAAGACTACCACCTACCGTGACTTACTAGTTCATTCAACATCAAATGTGTGCTAACTTTTTAGTCCTTGGGATACAAGGCCCAAAAAAATTCAAAAAACAAGTAAAAACCAAAGATTTAGATGTGGGGGTGGGGAAGGAAAGGGCTTGCCAACAGGTTTCATGGAGTACATTAAATTTTGAAAAAAATAAGTATATTGTACTTCTATTGCTTCATGTAAAAAATTTAAAATAAAAAAATGCTCACTGGAGCCACCTGTATAGTTGGAGAAGTGAGGACACCATACAGACGGGACAAGGCCCCGCAGGCGTTTCCTGACCACAGTCCAGGGGAGGGAATAGTTCCCAGGTGTGTCCACTTCTCTCACAGAAAGGGACTGTAAGATTCTGGGGGAAGAAGCCCTACACATGAAAGGCATTCAGAAAATCATTGAAATATGGTTTCCAAAAACTGAACATGCTCTAGGTTAGAAAGAGGCATACTGAATTCCTAGAACCTGTTGATTTCTCTAACATGGGTAGATGGGAGTTTCAAAAAAATTAATAAATGATTGTGCGTCTAAAGTTGCAGGGTCAACATTCCACCCTCTAGAAAGCAGGGTAATTCATGGCTTGGAGTCCTCTTGTTTACATCCTAGAAACCAGAACAAATTCCATGGGACCTCCCCACTCCAGCCCCCAACAACCAGCAAGGCAGGGGGAAGGATGTAGGAGGGGGCCACCACTGTCTTTGGGTAGGGTACGTGTGTGTGCATGCTGTGTGCATGTGCTGGAGAGACTAAGGCATAGAGAAGAGCCCAGACCAGGGGGGAAAGTGAGTCTCCTGGCTGCTCCAGTCCCTTCTTTCCAGGCACAAAGAAGGTGAACTTGTTATTCCTGTAGGCCCCCTTCATCTCACTTGAGCTTTTAGTAAGCAGTAGCTGTGTGTGACAGTCATTCAGTCCCTGTGCCTTTCTCAATCTGTTTGCAGTTCCAACAGAAATAATCTATAAATGACACTTGAGAGCAAATTTACTAGTTAGATCAGCAGCTTAACATTGCTTAAAATCCTATATTTTAAAAAATGCTCCTGGGTACAGGCAAAATTTTGTCATACAGCCACTGGCACTGAAGACTATCAGCTGAATGAAGAAAATTCAGATTGTTTCTATTATCTCTGCATTTTAAAGTAGCAAAGTATTAAGCCATCCCACAGGGGTTCTAGGACCACCCTGTGTGATTCAGTTCATTTTCTGGGACTCTAGTATGACATCTTGTTTGCATTTGACTGTTTCCCTTCCCTCTCAGGCATTTGGCCCCCAAAGTTTGGTAGGTAAAAGTATCATTTTAAAGGATTTTACCTGTTGGGGAATTTCCCGGTTGGTGCTCCTGGAGAGCATGCAGCTGGCCTGTAGGAGCCTGACATTCCCAGTCAGTGGGGAACGAAGACATGTGCCCCCAAGGCAGGGGGTGGCCAGGTGCAGGACAGCAGGACCTTCTAGAGGGTCCCAGGAGAAAGTTCAGAGTGGACCCTGGGAAGGGACACAGGTGCCCCATCTGAGATGGCCTGTGTCCTTCCAATGCCTGGTATCCCCAAGAGCCACTCAGACCTGGGCCCGCCCTGGGGAACGAGGCTCTGGTGCTGCCTGGAGGAGCTAACACTGAGGTCTGGGGAAGTCACCACATAGCTCCCAGAACCTGGATCATGTACAAACACATACATGGAAAGTAAACAGTTCATGGTGAACCCAAAGAGGCTCACCCTTAAATCTAACAAGAAGCCAAAAGCCCCCGTACTGTTTTCCAAGGAAACATGTCTGCTCCTTCCAACGAGCAACCATGTATGGAGGTGGAATGGGGGCAGTGGAAGGACATGGCTCAGATGGAGACACTGCGAACGTGTTTCCACACTGTCTACATTCATATCATCATCATCCAGTGTTCTCATCTACAGAGTGAGCGCAACATTCTACCAGCGCACCTGAAGGACAGGCCAAGCTGAACGGAAGCCTTCCCAGGCACCAGAGCAGAAGGGAACCTTGCACATGGTCATAAAGGACTTCCCGCTATTCCATCCCCTCTACTGCCATCCAAGGGGCATCTCGACTCTTCCAAAATCAGATGTCAAAGACAAGGTTAGTAAAATCAGTATCCATGCCACCTGAAGCTATGATTAGCCACTGTGCACGAACATGGCACTTCAAAAAAGATTTT